CTTTCTTTCTTTCTTTCTTTCTTTCTTTCTTTCTTTCTTTCTTTCTTACATTTCCTTCCTTTCTTTCCCTTCTTTCTTTCTTTTTTTAACATTTTAATTAACTAATTTATTTTTAGTTTTCAACATTCTCTTCCAGAAGATTTTGAGTCTGAAATTTTCTCCCCATCTTGTCCCTCTCCCCACCCCAAGATGGCATGCATTCTGAATACCCCTTCTCCTAATCTGCCCTCCCTTATATCTCTCCCCACCTTCTCTTATCCCCTTCCCCTTCAAATTTCCTGTAGGGCAGGATAGATTTCTATACCCCATTGCCTATATATCTTATTTCCCAGTTGCATGTGAAAACAATTTTTAACATTTGTTTTTAAAATTTTGGGTTCCAAATTTTCTCCCTTCCTCCCTCTCCATCAACCCTCATTGAGAAAGCAAGCAACTCGATACAGGTTATACAAGTGTAGTCATGCAAAACACTTCCATAGTAGTCATGTTGTGAAAAACTTTCCCTTCATCCTATCCTGCCCCCTATTTATTCTATTCTCTCTTTTGACCCTGTCCCTCCTTAGAAGTGTTTGCTTCTGCTTACCTCCTCCTCTAATCTGCCCTCCCCTCTATCATCCTCCTACTCTCATGTCCCCTTCCCCCACATTTTCCTGCAGGGTAAGATAGATTTCCATACCCAATTGAGTGTGTATGTTATTCTATCCTTAAGCCAAATATGATGAGAATAAGATTCACTCATTCCCTCTCACCTTCCCCCATTTCCCCATCCACCGTAAAAGACTTTTCTTGTCTATTTTACCTGAGGTAATTTACCCAATTCTACCTCTCCCTTTCTCCTCTCCATATAATCCTCTCTCACCCCTTAATTTTATTCTCCAGATAACACCCTGTCATCTTCAACTCACCCTGTGCCCTCTATCTATCTATCCTATCTATCTATATACACATACATATAATTTTTTCACTCTAACTACTCTAATACTGACAAAGGACTCATGAGTTACAAACATCATCTTTCCATGCAGAATATAAACAGTACAACCTTAATAAATCTCTTATGATTTCTCTTTTCTGTTTACCTCTTTATGTTTCTCTTGAGTCTTGTATCTGAAAGTCATATTTTCTATTCAGCTCTTGTCTTTTCATCAAGAATGCTTGAAAGTCCTCTATTTCACTGAATGTCCATTTTTTCTCCTGAAAGATTATGCTCAGTTTTGCTGGGTAGGTGATTCTTGGTTGTAATCCTATCTTCTTTGCCCTCCAGAATATTATATTCCAAGCCCTGTGGTCCCTTAATGTAGAAGCTGCTAAATCTTGTG